CCACTGTCATCTCTCGGCCTTAGGGGAAGAGAAGTCCTAGTCAACTCTCAAGAGTTCTAGGCAAAACGACTCCTCAGTCGAATATCAAGCCATTAGCTCTTTATCAAGGTATACCCAAGGCATAACGACACCTCAATCGAATATCAAGCCCTTGGCTCTTTATCAAGATAAGCCCAAGGCATAATGAATCCTTAGTCGAATATCAAGCCCTTGGCTCTTTATCAAGGTAAGCCCAAGACACAGTGACTTCCCAATTGAATATCAAGACCTTGATACCTCTTCAGGGTAAACCCAAGGCAAAATGACTCCTCAGTCAAATATCAAGACCTTGGTACCTCTTTAGGGTAAATCCAAGGCAAAACGACTCCACAGTTAGATAAACAAGTCCTTGGTTCTTTATCAAGGAAAGCCTAAGGCACAACCCTATGGTCGACTCCCAAAGTCGCTACTCGATCGTACGTAGATTATTTCTGATATAGGCACCCAACCTCAGGGTTGCCATTTTGCCAAAAATGTGTTCACAAGCCTAAGATGAAAACAAAGCTACAAAGCTAAAAGAATGCAAACAATGAAGGCAAGCTCAAGAATGAAGGCAAAAGTTAAATTTCATTCAAAAAGAGTAAACTTCATTACAAACTTCTTTACAAAAAGAGAAAGAAAGAGAAGAGAAACAAGCAGGTCATCAAAGCTCTCGACCACATTTAGGAGTCGGACTTGACAAACTCCTGGTGGCAGCAATTGTAGAAGATTCTCCGGGGGCCCCAACGACAAGCTCGACCTCATCGTCATTCGCTGACAAATTCAATCCGCCTCTAATTTTCTCGACATCTTTCAACAAATTGAGACAACACGAGACACAGGAAGGGTAGAAGCGATCTGGGGTCAGATGAGAGTTGCGAGGCACCAAAGAAACGAAGTAATCAACCCTAGCTTTACATGTTAAAGCTATTTCAGCCTTCCCTATAGGACCATGATGTCAGTCGTCGACCACCTTCTTTTTATGCTGCTCTGAATCCAGATGAGTGAGTTGGTCCTTCAATTTCTCAACATGGGCTATGGACCCCTGAAGCTTTGATTGCAGCTCTTCAAAGTCCATCCTCATCTTTTCAAGAGACAGATGATTTATTCGAGCTTCTGCTATAGCTGCTATAGCTGTCATCCTGTGATGCTTCTCAGACTCGACCTCCTCCTGTAGATGAATCATCTCCCTTTGAAGGTCCTCGATGGTCCACATCTGCTTGGAAAACTAGATTCAAAAGCTCTTAAGGAGTTCTTCCTTCTCATCCAGACTCCGGCGCCAAGCGCCTTCTTTATGAGTCAATTCGGCCTCTAAGAAAGTGACTCTCTTCTCTACCTCTTCCTTGGCCGACTTCTCCTTCGCCAGCCTTCCTTGGCATTCCAGGGAACGCTCAAGTCAATTGAATAGGGTGTGTCCCAGCAAAGTCCCCCAAGCTAGACAAGCTTGAAGAGCTTGATGTATGCTAACACTTGGCATATCCTCCAAAATCATCTTGTCAACACCATTCTCTATTTGGTCTGATGGAGTTTCATCTCTCCCCTCGATGCCGTCGCCCATCACAATCGGCTCCTTGCCAGGATGATGGTATACCTCAGGATTAGTACTAGAGCTGATAGCATCCTCATCGACCACTGGGGATGTAGTCTCCTTCCAGGAGAAGACTCGTCTATCAGCCCCACATTTTCCAAGCGGTTAAGCTGAGTTATCAGTGGACCCGTTCCAACTGGTCTAACTAGGCATCGCATCTCAACCCTTGTCCTTCCCCTTAATTCAGAGGCAATGTTAGCTGCTTGAGGCATCAAGACAGCCACCTCCTCTACACTGAAAGCCCCCCTCGGCTTCTTATGTGGTCTAGCAGTGGAGCTCGCCCCCTCAGTCCTAGTGTTCCTCTTGCGATTTTCCGCAAATAGAGGAATGTGGCTTATCCTTGCCTGGAAGACAGTGGAGGATAAGATTATGGGCATGCCCACCGTCTGGAGAAACACATCAACAAATAGAGCATCGCTCTCTAGCAGCCCGACATAAGAACAGATCTTTTCCAAATCCCTCGTCTCAGAATCTCTTAGGGTAACTGGCCTCAAAGCGTCTTCGTTCACCTCCGACCAGTCCGAGCAGGCAAAGACGTTGTCGCCGTCATAGACCCACACAAATTGCTTCCTCCAGTCCCCATCCAACTCCAAAGAATTGGAAACAAGCTAGAACTCTCCACGATAGTGGAAAGAATAATGCGGGTCCTTCTTAGCAGACCCTACGCTGATCAGATGCCCGAGCAATCTCAAGCTTGGTTGGACTCCAACACGGTGGCAAATGATTATGAAAGCCACCAGAACCCCCACTGCGTTCAGATAGAACTAGGAAGGGGAAGCCCCTAGAGCGGCGTGCATCTCCTTAATGAAAGGGTGTAAGTACAACCGTAAACCATGCTCTAAATAGGCTATGTATAGCGGCACTCGACCCTCACCATGGCAATGCACTGGCTCGTTCATCTCTGGTGTTGCCAATATGAGAATCCGAGGAATATTGTATTGGTCATACAACCCCACCAGATCGTCCATATGGACCTTCGAGCGGATAAGGAAAAGAGAAGCAAGATTCTCCTCACTACGGCTAGAGTTTGAAACTTGGGAAGCCATGGAAGATTTTTTTCTTAAGAAGCTTGGAGGAATATCGGGAATTTTTCCAGAGAAAAGGTCCATAAAAGGACTATCTTACCATCAAAAAGATATTTATAAGGTTTCAAGGAAGAGTATAGAGGGATTTCAAAAAGCACGGCAATATTCGGAGCAACCAGGCCAGATCCACATCGGAATCTGAAGCAGTTCACTCGAAACACGAAGCGTTACCCTCATTTAATGCCCCTCGTCCCAATACTCAAAAAATGGAAGATCCTCCCTTCTATTCATGACGCTTCATCTCCTAAAAAGAAGGTTCAAATCTTTTGATGACGTCAGCCATGAATAGCGGAGTTAACAATGGATGCCTAATAACGACAAGCCACGTCTCTAAGATAGAGACTTCTCAGCTTCTCACCCTCAGTAGACTTGTATTGATCAAGAGCATATCTTATTTCTCTCGGAGTCGACTAAAAGCTAACTCTAAGAGAAAGGGGCCAACTATTATGGTGTTCACTCACCTAAGAGACAGTATTTGTGAAATGATACGATAAGAGTCCTAAGCAAAATAAGTTCAACCATTTGGTTGACTACCACAGTCATCTCTCGGCCTTAGGGGAAAGACCAGGCATTCAACTCCTCAGTCGAATATCAAGACCTTGGTACCTTATCAGGGTTAAGCTCAAGGCACAATTGCAGAGGCCTCGACCCCACCTACTCATCAAGCCGACACCCTGGTGTCGACACAAGAGGCGATACTAGCCGGTACAAGAGATCCTTAACTCCCAAACAAGCCGACACTCCTGAGTCAACACAAAAGGCGGTACTGGTCGACCCTATTATTAAGGACGACCCTATTTAGGGCACTCAACCACTCACTAGACATTTCTTAGAAATGACTTAAGGGACGTTCCCTGCTGTCGACTAAATTGAGGACTCGACTCCGGTCTCAAGCCTCTCTCCCAGAGAAAATGTCAATATCTCAGTCCACCTCGAACAAGCCTTATCCAGATTTTGGCCTGATAAGTCTCCATGACTTGTCAGCTCAATCACTTCCCTGAAAAAGTGGAGACATCCTCTCCAGAGCTGAAATGACTTCCCCTCCAGTCATCAGCCAACACCTGTAAATCGATAGACGCCTCAGAATGCCCATGTGCCTTCTGCCACGCTCACAAGTCACTTTATGGATATCGCGAAGACGCCATCTTTCATGCTTAGATGACTTCCCCTCCAGTCGCCAGCCGACACCTGTAGAAGCGAGGGATGACTCATCTTCCAGCTCACTCTTTGTTAGTGCCATTCTGCATGGCCGAAATAATCAGTCTGCCATTGACATCCACTCTATATATGGAGGCTGTTCACCTTCAGAAAGGGCCCCGAGTAGGGGTGGAAGTGAACCAAATATTTAATAAACAGTTCGGTTAATATTCGTCCAGATATTCGGTCATCTTCGATCCGACAGTTCATTTAACACTAAATGAATATTTTTAATATTCGGCTTATAAACGAATAGAATTTAACTAAAGGTATATTCAATTCGACTGATTATTAACTATTCGATAATTTTTTATATGTTAACCCTATTAATTAAACTTGTTATAAATATTACCCATTAAAACTTTTTATTACAACTTCTACCCATATATAAATAAACAAGTTAAGAAACCTAGGGTTTAACATGTCCTTTGGATTATGAATGAACGGTTCAGATTTGCATTTGGCAACTCATGAGTAAGATAAATAGCTTTAACCAAGTCCAAGTGCCCTAGATCTGAACCGCCAAACTCTTCCCATCTCTCAGTCCCATCTCCCTCCCTCTTCGGGATGCGGGCGACACCTGCCTCCTGGCGACGAGTGCCGACGAAGACTCTCCCGATTGACGAGACGACGACCGCCCTCCTCCCTCGACGAAGCCGACGACGCCTCCGAGCCGACGACGCCGCTCCTCCGCCTCGACGAGGCCGACGAAGCCTCCTCCGCCGGCGACGAGCCGACGACGCCCTCCTCCCCGTGACCGAGCCGACGAAGCCTTCTCCCTCGACGAGCCGACGACTGCTCTCGCCCCGCCTGCACGAGCCGGACGACGCCTCACTCCCCGTCAGGTTCATCTTATATTTTCTGTTAATTTTTTTGTAAAAACTTTTTTCCCCAAATTATTTCCAGCAGGTGGTTAATGCATGATAGAGATGATTTATGTACAGAATGTCATAATATATTCTGATTGTTGGTTTTCAAAATTTGTTTCTACAGAATTTTGTTTCTACAAAATTTGTTCCTCCCCGTCAGGTAAAAACTTTTTTCCCTAAATTTTTCCCCAAATTATTCATCATATATTCTGATTGTTGATTTTTAAAATTTGTTTCTACAGAATGTCATCTCCTAACGTGAATCCAGGAAGTGATTCTCATGCTCCATCATTATCATCTTCTGCTCCTGCAAATACTTCTTCTCCATCATTATCATCTTCTGCTCCTGCAAATGCTTCTTCTCCTTCTCCAGCTACTCCCTCCAGTGATAATACAGATAATGCAAGTAGAGAAAATGTGGAGACTACAAATCCTATTCAGGAGAAGAGAAGAAGGAAAAAGACTTCTGAGGTATGGGATAATTTTGTTGAAGTTACTCGTGCTAATAATGTTAAAAGATGGAGATGCAATCATTGCAAGCACGACTTTGCACAAAATTCAACTGGAACAACATCTCACTTGAAAACTCATTTAAATAATTGCATTACAAAAAAGTTGCATGATCAAAGGCAACAAACACTTAACTTTCAACGAGATGGTTCTACTATAGAGCGCCCAATCATGTTACCACCTGGAGGAAAATATAACCATCTGAAAGTTAGGGAAGCATTAGCTCATTGGGTCATGATGCATGGGCATCCATTTACTGTAGCAGAGGAGGAGGGTTTTCTATTTCTAATGAAAACTGTGAATCTTGAATTTATTAAAATTGGGCGTAAAACTTTGAAGGAAGATTGCATGACAATTTTTGAAAGTGAAAAGAATAAGATGAAGGGATTCCTTAAAAACATGGACAGGGTTAGTTTAACCACTGATCTCTGGAAGTCAGAAAATTAAAAAATTGAATACATGGTAATTACTGGGCATTTTGTTGATAAGGATTGGAACCTACAAAAATCAGTTCTTAGTTTTGTTCATGTGCCTCCTCCTCGGCATGGTATTGACATTGCAGATGCCATGCATAAGTGCTTCAAAGATTGGGGAATAGAAAATAAAGTTTTTACTATATCTGTGGACAATGCATCCTATAATGATGTTTGTTTAAGAACTTTGAAGACTAGTCTATCTAGACATAAGAAATTGGTTTGTGATGGAAAATTATTTCAAGTGAGATGTTGTGCACATATTCTCAATCTTCTTGTCCAAGACGGGATAAGTGTAATTGCATTAACTATTGAGAATGTGCGGGAAAGCATCAAGTTCATCAATCACAGTGAAGCGAGGCTCAAAATATTTTCTGCTATTGTGCAACAGGTATATCAAATCTACTGTCATCTTTAAAGTGTATATTTTTTATGTGAAAGTCTAATAATATACTTATGTATATATTTTTTGTTTAACAGCTGCAGTTAAGAGAAAAGAAGTTGATTCTTGATGTGCCAACTCGTTGGAATTCGACATACTTGATGTTGATCACTGCCCTAAAGTTCAAAGATGCATTTCCAATGTACAAAGAAAGGGAGTCCAATTATGATTGCATGCCAGAACCTGAGGAATGGGATAAAGTGGAGAAAATTTGCAAGTTATTAGCCGTCTTTCATGCGGTAACGAATCTAATCTCTGGTAGTGACTATCCTACTTCTAATTTATATCTCATTGAAGTCTATAGGATTAAAGAAGTTATCGATAAGTCACTACTAGATAATGATTTCTCTATTCGGCAAATGGCTAAAAAAATGCATGATAAATTTGAAAAATATTGGGGAGAATGCAATTTGTTAATGGCAATAGCTTCTGTTATGGATCCTAGACTAAAAATTGGTGCGGTTGAAATTTGTTATCCTCAAATTTACTCTGAAAGCTTCTGTTATGGATCCTAGACTAAAAATTGGTGCGGTTGAAATTTGTTATCCTCAAATTTACTCTGAAATAGAAGCTAGGATAAATATACAGAAAGTTCGGGATGCCTTGCAAGAGCTATTTGATGAGTATGTTGCTTTACATGATTCAAACAATGAGGAAAATAGCTCTCTGGAAGGTTCTATGGGTGCTTCGAGTGATACAAGCTCGTCATTGTCATCTTTAAGTTCCAACTGGAGTGATATCTTGAAAAAGGTGAGAACGAAAGATAGTATGCCCGCATCCAAATCAGAGTTAGAAACATACTTGGATGAACATGTATATATATGTGGTGAAGCTGAAAATTACCATTTTAGTGCTTTGAATTGGTGGAAAACGAATCAATTGAAGTATCGTGTCTTGTCGAGAATGGCGGCCGATATTCTTGCTGTTCCTATTTCTACGGTGGCATCAGAGTCTACGTTTAGTACTGGCAGGAGGGTAATTGATACGTATCGAGCATCTTTAGATCCAAAAACAGTTGAAGCATTGATATGTGGAGGGGATTGGATGCGAAAAGTCCATGGTATAAAGAAAAAGAAGGTAATGATTTATTTAAATTCAATGCAAAAAATTTGAGTTCATAAAATTTATTCATATTGAGTTAATTTGTATGATTACAGGTTGAAGATGAAGTAAGAGAAATGGAGATTACCTTACCAGAAAGTTGATTGCAGGTATGATTATCATTCTTTAAATACATGGTCGTGTTTAATATGACTGCAGTTAACATTCTACTTGCATGTATGATTACAGGTATGATTGCAGGTATGATTATCATTCTTTCTCCATGCAATTAACATTCTTTCTCCATGCAATTATGATTGCAGGTATGATTGCAGTCTTGTAATTAACATTCTCTATGCAATTAACATTCTGTAATAATTTGTTTGATTGCAGGTATGATTATCCTAGCAATTAACATTCTTGTGTGGTATGATTCGATAAGCTTTAACACATGGTAACATAAATTATTAATATGACTATGAATGTGATGTGTTTTACTGTAACAGACAGAAAGCTTACTTTCTTGGGCTATAGCTAAATATTGTAGTTTTATATAGTTGATTAACACTTATTTAACTGACTATATTGTGTTGATTCTATTATTATCACATGTTAGGCAGCATACTTAATTTCTAATCTTGTGACAACCTGATGCTTGTAATTAGACATGGGCATGATTTTTGCCAAACTGTTGGGATGATTTCATTGTCATTTACATGGAAAAAAAAGTTGAAGTTACGTGTATCTACCATAGATAATATGCTAACTTGCAGAGTGCAACTCCGTTCAAAACAATAGATTATATGCTACAAAAGGAAAACACAAGGAGCTGCTGTACATTCTTTTGCTATGTGCTTCTTTTGTGTTTGGATTTAACTTTTTAAGGCTTTTAAAATCTTCATATGATATTATCTTGTGTTCTCATTGAGTTTGGTTTCAATTTTCAGGATTTGATCGACAAAGAGCATTGTATGAGGGCCAAAATAGCAAACTGTGCGAATCTGGAGGCTTAGAGAAACTTTATTATTCAATGAGCTTTTGGAAAGTTATACAAACTTGTTTATGTATGAGTTAAGACCTTGATGTGTTGCAAATTACACTTTTAAGCACCTCTTTGTTCTCTATGTAAGTGTTAATGTGATACTGACCTACTGGGTAAGTTGGTAACTTGATAATTGCTATATTGTTGTAGTTGTGTCAAGGATTTTAGACATGCTAAGAGCTTATGAAATTATATTTTTCTTGCTTTATTTTATAAGAATGTTTTTCTAATTATGTGCTATGTTTTCTATTGTAGAAGATATTACTGTGTTTGTGAGTTTAGAGTGGAATGTTTTTCTAATTATGTGCTATGTTTTCTATTGTAGAAGATATTACTGTGTTTGTGAGTTTAGAGTATAAAAAATATATTACACTGATTTATTATTTCTATTGTAGAAGATATTACTGTGTTTGTGAGTTTAGAGTATAAAAAATATATTACACTGATTTATTATAGTTTGATTGGTAGAATGTAAAAATAACATTTTGTTTACTGATTATGTTTATTTTTTATGATTTTCGAATTATTAGCAAATACATATCAAATATTTGACGAATAATTCAAAATCAAAATTGTCGAATAAGGTTAAACGAATATTCGCGAATATTTTTCGAACATCAATATATGTAAACGAATCGAATTCGAATTTGTGTAACTATTCGAGCCGAATACGAATACGAACACGAATAGCCCAATATGAACCGAATTCGAATTTGAACATTGTACTATTCGTTCAAATTCGATTCGATTCCACCCCTAGCCCCGAGAGAGAAAAAAGAAGAAAAGGTAACCTAATCTAACCTAACAAACAACTCTCGGAGCAATTTAAATCTTCCTCCTGATCTAAACTAAGAGATGATGATCTCTAATGCACATAGCATAAGAACGCATAGTTTTAAACTCCACTCAAGCTCACGTTTATCAACTGACTTGACTGTCGGAGGTACCACGGGGGAACTAGTCCCCGCCCTCTTACGAGTTTTGTTCTTCTGGTCTTTGTAGTGGATTCAAACATCCTAGTTCAGAACTCGGCATAAAGTCGAAGAAGGGAGCGAACCTTCCATCATTCTTCTCACCCCGCAACCATCCTCTTCTGGATTAATTGGTTGTTTGATATTGATCATCAACAACATTATTATAGTATTAGAAGTATTAATATAATGTAATATAAAATTATAGAATGTATTATAATATTATATTATACTTAATGAGTTATATTATATTATAATTATTACATATTATTTTCAAATTTTTATATAAGTATATCATTTTGTTATTGTTATATATTATATTAATATTTTTATAATAATGTTGTTTTATTATTAATATAATAATATACTATTATTAATATAATATAATGTTATACTATTATTCATATAATATAATATTATAATAATATTAATTTAATGTTATTACTAGTATGTTATTAATAAATTAATATTTTATAAATATTTTAATATTATGTAATATAATATGATCTTTAATATGTTAGAGTTTATTAATAGTAATTTAATAATATATTAATAATTATTTATATAAATAAATATTATTATATTATGAATATATTATTTTTGCATTAACATTTGTTAGCAATAAATTATTTTATTTATTAAATAATATATTTATATTTATATATTATATGACATTTACTATACAATATATTATTATAATAATATTATTATTTTATTATTTTATTTTTAAATATGTTACTATTATATAATATTTTATAATTATTATTTTATTACAATTTCTTTATTAATAAGTTAATAATATTATAGTGATTATACTATTGTGTACTATATTATTATATCATTATTATATTATTATTTATTATCAATAACTTTTTTATTATTTTTTATTTGTTTATTTATATTTTATTATTATTTATTATTATATAATACATTGTTAACGTATTAAATACTATTATTTAATATGTTATTATATTGTTATATAAGATATTTTATTTATTATATTATTTAATAAATATTACTAATATATTAGATTAACTATAATATAGTATAGTATAGTATAGTATAATATAGTACATAGTATAATAAGCATGTTATTAATAACTCTATGTTAATTATATTTAATATATTATGTTAGATATTATATTAACACATTCTCAAACTCAAAATCAAAACACTAAACTTAAAACACATTTTAAGTGTTTTGAAATAAGTGTTGTTTTTTTTATTTGATAATGATTTAGCTTAAAAAACATCATAATTTTTAAACATATGGTGTTTTATTTTTTATAAAAACATCATGAAAACAAATAAAACACAATGATACCCAAAACGAGATTTAGTGTGTTATTGCAATTTGCCCGGTGCTTCCAAAGAATGAACTTTCTCATGGACCAAGACAAAAAAAGAATCAAAGAGGAAAGAAAATTGTACGACGCCATTCCTGACCTCAAATTAGCCACGTGATCCTATTTATAGTATATATATTTTAAAATTTCCAGTCTGGGCCCTACTGTAACTTGTCTACATTTTCGCGCTATTCATAAATTATCCCTAAAACTTGATTCGCAAGTTCTCTGTGTTACAGTCCGGGTCTAACTTTGTCACTACAAATGATACGTATATCCTTTGTCATGTAACGGAAGAGGACTTTGTTTTCTCAAGGAGGAAGGTTATATTGTTTCTTGTTGGGGATGTATCGAGAGAAAATGACTAAATTATCATGTTGATATTCAAAATGACCAAAATTTTCATTATGGTTTTTATTTCTACTCCGGCGTCAATATGTTAGTTTAACTTGTAATCTGATGACAATTAAGATTTTTTGGCTAAATTGCACTAAAATATGTTATGATTGATTCGCTAATTTAGCACTTATATACCCTAAGTTTTATTTTTGAAACATTTATATTACCTGAGTTGTTTAAAATTAGCACCTTAATTAGTACCCTCTGTTATGCAAATGTGAAAATTTTCATTCGAAAATTCTCCTATAACGTTCATATGCTAATATTACAACTTTCTAACTATTGAAATTACAGCTAAATCTATCCAAATTTTATTTTTCCAAATAGAATAAAAATATGTTTAAATTAGAATTTGGGTAGGATTAATAGTAAATCTAATAAATGTTAATGACTAAAAAGTTCTAAAATTAATATTTGAATTTATATGGGAACTTTCGTGTGAAATTTTTTTTGTTTGCATAACTGAGGGTACTAAGGTGCTAATTTTAAACAACATAGGGCATATAAATATTCTAAAAATAACTTAGGGCATATAAGTGCTAAATGAGTAAATCATAAGGTATTTTATGCAATTAATTTAGCCTTCTTCATTTTTTGTCAGTAGCGAGAAATCTAGCGAACTATATTTTTATCTTTTTACAAAATTTCTTCCATCTTCCTGACCTATCAAAATTATTAAATTTACACTCTTCTTATCCTTCAATCGCCCCAATTCAAATTTCTTACACTATTTTATCCAGTAAGATCCTCCTTCACTCTTTCTTTCTCTCTCATCAATGGAGCCTCCTCTTTCTCCTTCAAACTCTCTCAATTCAAACATAAATCCTAGTCCAAATTTGTATCGACTTGGATGACAGTTGTTGGATTGAAATCAATGTTGAAGAAATTTGAATTGAGGAAGATTAAAGAAGAGAAGAAGAGTGTAGATTTAATATTCTTGATAGGTTAGAGAGATGAAAGGAATTTTTCAAAATAAAAAAATACAGTTCACCATAATTCTGTTGGGATTTTGTCTTTGATTCTTTGTGTAACTTCATGAGAATTAGATAGGGTTAGAGTTCTATCATGATTAGGAGTTTGAGTTCTATCATGATTAGGAGTTTGGGTTTTATCATGATTAAGAGTTTGAATCTTATTCTAATTAGGAAGTTAGGCTAGAGATCGGGTTTTGGTTTTCCTATATATATTCTTCTATTGGTGGAGGAAAAACCATAAAGAAGAGTAGAGATGTAGTAGATGAGAGAGAAAGAGGGTTTCGTAGTCTTTATCCGTGCAAAAGATTACAAGGAGTGGGCTTTGGAGAGAATATGAGAGTTGATTATGTATGTGAGGTTGAGAGATTAAGAGACGAGAGTTGAGTGGTTCCTCTTGTAGTTCTCCCTGATACATAGTGAATTTCTCGTATTGTTGCCCCGTGGACGTAGGTCCAAGTTGGTCGACCGAACCACGTAAATCTCGATGTTCTTTTTTCTTGATTGTGATTGTTCTATCTTGTTGATTGTGGGTTGGCTTCCGAGTTGCGCATATCGTGCTAGGCTAGGAGACTAAAATTCCCCAACAAATTCTTACTGCTGGCGAGAAAAAACTTTACTGTTATCGAGGCACAAATTAAAATATCATAAGACGCGAGAGCCGAAATAAATACCATATTAAAAAA